TATATGAAGTGATCTCTTATGGATAAGATTAAAAGGGAATAAGTGATAAGATCCCCCATGTCATGGAGCATGAACGCACACAGGTCTCCAAATCAATACCTTTGTAATAGGCCGCATAATGTTCCAAACCTGCCGTGTGGCTGTTCAAGCAGAAACTCCCAACAGTCTGGTGAACTGCCACGTGGAGACAAGAGGTCTTGCCCCACGAGAAGCACACCTGGAGAAATGTCGAGTCTGGTTCGCAGACGGGACATTCTTCGACATCATAGGGTTCCTACTGCCCAAACGCACCCACCCTAACCGCCGAACCGCAATGGATTGGAGCCCAAGGGCTACATCATTGGATTGTTCCAAATCATGCTGCACCAGGACGATGACCACGCCTGTGCTCGATGACCAGTTCGATGTTTCTGTTGTGTTCGATGGATTCCGGTGCCAAGCAATGCAGATCAATCGCATCCCATCGCAGGGTTTGAACTCCCAGAGCAGAACCCTCCGTTGGAACCATTCGATACATTCCGAAGTCTGATCACGAGAGCACCAGACCCCAGCCCTTCAAGAACAAATCCGAACCACGCTGCGTTCGCACCTTGACATCCATTTTTGGCGCATGTGATGGCCTCCAACCTTCTAGCGATGGCCTCCAACCTCAGAGCGATGGCCTAATATGGTCGACATTGAAACGGTGCACTCGAAATGGTGGTCCCCTCGAGCCAGAACGAAGGCCTGACCCGACATGGTCCACGCCTCATCACCAGGGTGGCACCTTTAAACTTTAGACTAAAACGAAGGCCTACTGTATAACATCCAACCCAACATGGCCCATGTCGTTGTTGTTTTGCTATATGAATATTATTGTTGGGTTGGAGAATGGTTGAGGTTCAAGAAGGACCCTATGATGAAGACAAGGCATCTTCAAAGAAGTTGCCGTTGCCAAGTTTCTTGAGGCACTTCAGCCAAAAGCTGAAGACTGCTATGATCCAGCGGGGTCTTTGTGACAGTTGAGGACGTCCCATTTGGCGCTGAGCATTCTCCCTTTGGCTAAGTCCTAAAGGTCGTATACAGAGATTTCATAGGAGAGAGTAGAGCTGCATGATGATGGCATCTACCTGCATGAAAATGTGCGCACAGCGAGTGGGAGGGACTTTGATGTATAAACACTCATATAATCGTCCATTCCGCTGTGAAAAGAATTGGGGTTGAAACCTCCGTAAGCTCTCCCAACTACGCAGATAGTTCTATTCGTACATGAAACCATGCTTGTGCGGCAAGCGATCTTGAGGTCGATGACCAAGATTTTGTGCGACAAAAAGGCACTTGGTCAAAAGGCTCCTCCTTCAAGATCGGCAGGTGATCGTCAGGCTACGTGGCAGTGGGTCAAACAAGAGGGACCCCGGTTGACCACCGAAAATATTACAAGAATCGATGACCAGGGAGGTCAATCTCCCAAGGTTTGGAGCTCCAGGTTTCGACTCACAGTATGCCAGGCAGGCAGGAAATCGCCCCAAAAAGCGAGCCGATTTCCTCTGTTAAAGTCTTAGCAATCATGTGTTCAAACGGACGAAGCGCCAAGCTGGGCCGTTTGGGCACCGTCCACGGTGTGTTGCTGTGCGGCGGAGTCAGCGGAGTTGACCGTGGCCATTGGGGTGCCAAGACGATTCATCAACCTCCCCTAATAAAACGCATATATATATATATAATATCATATAATAGTAGTAGTCGTCCTCAAGGTAGGTAGTAAGTAGAGATGTAAATAGTAAGTACTTAGTAGGTAGTTGTTAGTAGTCCGCGGTAGCTAGTAGAAGTTGTAGTTAGTCGTAGTTATATAGTCGTAGTTACACAGTTGTAGTTATATAGTAGTAGGAGTAGTAGCAGGAGCAGGAGCAGGAGCAGGAGCAGTAGCAGTAGCAGTAGCAGCAGCAGCAGCAGCAGCAGGAGGAGTAGTAGTAGTAGTAGTAGTAGTCGTAGTCGTAGTAGTCGTAGTAGTAGTAGTCGTAGTCGTAGTAGTCGTCGTAGTAGTAGTAGCAGCAGCATGTGATGTTGATTAATTATAAATTGTGTTTATAACTTGAATATAATAAATATATATATATACATAATACATTTTCATCATATTTACATCATCACGGCACACTCGATGTCCAGTACTCCCCTCTAAAGCCTGGTTATGTAGGGGTCCCAAACTTTTCAAGCCGAAGACACATGATTTCCACAAGGTCGAAAGGAGCCTAGTAGCGAACCTTGTTACTAGTAGTAAGGCACTTGTTACTAGTAGCGTGGCACTTGTTACTAGTAGTATGGGGAGATGAACATCAGAACGAGACCTTTCTTTGAGGGTTCAGGATCATCCTGAAGATACCCTTTTGGCTCCAAGGACGCTCTGGGAAGTACGTACTCACCTCCAAAACCATTCAAAAAGGAGGTACCGCTTTCGGGGTGATTTGTGTGTTTCCCCGTCCCTTCAACGGAAGTGGCAAATAGCCTGCAAATAGGCAGACGACTTTCCTCCAAGGGGGGAGTTGTCCACTTCATGCTTGTTGGAGGTTTCGGATACTCGATTGTACAGGCAACTGACAAAGTCCTACCCAAAACATCCCAAAACCATGAAATCAATAGAACTCTGCGGGGGGACTCATTGATTCTCCTGATTGGACACGTCGAGCTGAGCCACCCAAAGAATGTGGCACCCAAACCGGTGTCACACCTTGACCATCTGTAACCCCAAAGGCGAGGTCTCCCAATTGGGAGGTCTCCCATCTCTGGTCGCCACGCGATCGATCCGCCAGCGTCCTGGGCTCGGGTCCAGGGTCGATGTAGCCAGAGGAGAAGAGACGTGTCGACTGGCCACTCAAAACACGAAAAACACGATGCGGTTTCACCAAGTTGATCCAAAAACACATGCGGTCCACATATGAAAACCTGTGTTGCCATCAACTCCAGACTGTTTTGTAGAATCCTGTGTTTGATGCTGGCTTTGCTCATGGAGAAAAACCATGAACATACTGTATATACATTATTGCATTTGGAGGCGGTTTCTGGGACCATCCCAAAAGTGTAAAAGGGCACCTCAATGGGGATTCTCAGAAGGGACCAACTGGGGAAGACTGGTGATACCTTTTGTGCGAGTTGAATCCATAATTGGAGACCACCCAGGCTGCGCCCCGACAGAGGTTCCTTGGGTCTTAGGCGGGTGAGACTTATCTCTTCCTGTCTAACACTCCCGACTTGCATAAAAGCGCTTTCGGTTTTGGAGTCAGAGTGTTATAACACTCTTGCCACATCTTCAAGAAGTGACAAGATCCAGCGTTGTCATCTCGCAGTATTTGAGAACACTCTTGCACCTGGAAATCTTATTTTACGTGACATTCTCTAGTACGGAACCATCCAGTCACTGTTAAAAGAACGAAAACCGTCTGAATCCACTGGCTTCTTCGGGGCGAGGATGTCGCGACACGCGACACGCGTTTTTGCGCAAAAGACTCATCACCTGCTGGGTCTTTGGGAGTCAGCGGGTGTGAGACTGACGACATCTAACGACGATTTCTCGTCGCGAGTCATGGATCAATTCGGGTTGAGGGTGACCTTTTTTGCAAACCTATGTTTGTGCTCAAAAAGAAAGGCTTGGCTGCGGTTTTATGCTCATTTGCGGTCTATCTATCTATCTATCTATCTACCTAGCTATCTACCTAGCTATCTATCTTATCTATCTTATCTATCTTATCTATCTAATCTATCTAGTCTATCTAATCTATCTAATCTATCTAATCTATCTAATCTATCTAATC